GCTTGATCGGCTTGATCGGCCTGATCGGCTTGATCGGCTTGATCGGCTGGGTCGGCCTGATCGGCCTAGCTGATCGGCTTGATCGGCTCGTTCGGCTTGAAATTAGAGTTAGAATTGAATTATATAAAAAGTAAATACCCTGGGAGTCAAAGACTATAAAAAGAATAGTCTTTAGGGGAACTGAAAGAGAACTTCGTTTACTTCAGCCGGTCAAAATATAGTCCTTGGACTTCTAGGGAATACTTAGAATTAGAATTTCATTAGATTAGCATAATTAGAATTCGATTTTAATCAAATTTCAGTAGAATTAGAATTAATGCTAATTAAATCTATATCGAGTTAGTATTTAACTTATTGAAATTTTGTCAAAATTTGAAAGCAATTCCGATTTAAATTAGACTTTTAACTTTATCGGGCCCATCGGCTTGATCGGCTTGATCGGCCTGATCGGCTTGATCGGCTTGGTCGGCCTGATCGGCCTGATCGGCTTGATCGGCCTGATCGGCCTGATCGGCTGGATCGGGCTGATCGGCTTGAGGTAGGGTTGCCGCAGGGGGCGTGTCCGCGGTCGGGTAGGGTGGGGGTAGGGTCAGGGCAGGCTGGGGTAGGGTGTGGTCGGCGTGATCGGCCTGATCGGCCGGATCGGCTTGATCGGCTTGATCGACCTGATCGGCCTGATCGGCCTGATCGGCTTGATCGGCTTGATCGGCTTGACCGGCCTGAGCGGCCAGATCGGCTTGATCGGCCTGGTCGGCTTGATCGGCTGGATCGGCTGGATCGGCCTGATACTGTCTTCTTGAGTCCCCAATGACGCTGTGTCCATTCAGCGGCGTCATTGCGACCATTTAGCGTTGTCATTGCGACCATTTAGCGGCTACGTTGTTTTCTTCGCTTACATTACTTATATAAATGCGCCTGCTGCATGGCCACTAAGTGTTGAACATACGGGGGGCCCCCCCCCTACATATGAAGTTTTCACGTGATGCGGCGATCCCGAGGATTCCAGCCCCTCACTTGCTAAAGCAAGGACAACTCCAGCTAGCTGGTGCTAGCTTTCGTGAATAGCCGTCACTTTTTCCACGTGCGCCGGAATCGGCTTCGTGTGTGCGTCAACCTCTGTAACTAAGAGTTCCACCTACCTCCACCACTGTCAAGCAGGGGGTCGCTGGAGATTCGTGCGGTCAGCGACCAACGAAGACGCTGCACGTTTCCCGTGATATGAGTCGAGGACGCTCGACTCACGTACCTGCGACAATTTTTTGAACTTTCGAACACGCTGTCTACTCTTCTGCTTTTTGTTTCCATGGTCCTTGCACGATATACCCCAAAACCTTTTCCCACCGCAGACTTGCAGCAGACTTGCAGCCGCGCTGAGTGTCCGATCGTTTTCGAGTGCAATTGCAAACAAGGTTAAACCATACTGTTCTCGCCGACCTTTTCACCTTGCGTTTCTCTCACCTTCTTCAACCTGGGAACTGAGTTAACTGCAAACCAATGTCAGAGTGTGTCTGACAGCTTGGATCCACAGGGGACGTTTTGGTCTATATAGTGAGCAGGGGGCCATCCCTCTCACCATTGATGGATGGCCAGCGAAGAGGCCAATGGTCAGAGCTGTAAACGTACCTGCACCTTTAAGTTCTTAAATGCCAGGTCAAGTCTGTCAGACCTGGAGATGTGACGTTTTGGTTGGATGGAACGCCGGCACTCGACGTGAGTTTTCTGGTCCAGGTATTTGCGAATCTCATGGGACAAGCGAGTGCTTCTTTGATGCCACTTTGCACCTGGAAGTAGGCAAACAAAGGTGATATTTCAGTATGCTCTTGCCTTGCTTTACTTGTACTCAAGATGACTGTACTGATCAACGACAGGCTGAACCTGCGGAAGCTGAGCCAACCGAATAGCGATGGCCTCCAACCTTGTAAAGATGGCCTGCAACCTTGCAGCGACGGCCTCCAACCTACTAGCGATGGCCTCCAACCTACTCTTCCGGTTTTACTCAGGCCATTTTTTCACCTAGGTTGCAGTGTGGCATGAGGCATTCATGTCCGTACGCATTTCCCAGATGTGTGTGTGTGTGTGGGTGGGTGCTTTAAAACTCCTAAGAGCAACAGCAAGCACGAACTTTTTCAACAAACTCGGTCCTCTGCATGTTGATTCTCTGGAGCGCAGCAAACCACTACTGAAGTGCAGGATTCTCCTGTTAAAGCCGGCTGTAAAAGCATAGTAAGCTTGGAATCATTGAAGGGTACACGAGGGACTGCAAGACCTTGCTCTACACAGCGTTGCCTTTCATTCAATGCCTGCACACATCGCTTAAGCGTCAGCAAGCCTTTGTTGATATGATTTGTCTCTGTGATCCTCTCCCGGCATCGATAGTACTCTTGCCATGTCACACGAGAAACTTCCTCATCTCCAACATTGACGCCTCCTGGTGCGCAAACATTTTCATTTGCTTTGCTCTTGCTCACTTTCTCAGAGCCTCCAAGGTCAGCAAGGAACAATTGTGACTCCACAAACTCCTCTTGTCCAGGTGCGCGCTGTCTGAGTCGCAAAATCACCAGGGTGTGTGCTCGTGTACTGCATTCGTTCATCTCCGTCATGGCTTGTCGTTTGCGCTCATTACCCTTCGCAAGCAGCTCTTGGAAAGTGGCTTGGTCTGAGACGGCCTCTTCACAGCGGCCTTCCAAGACAAACTTGTGACCCATACGTTGGCTCTGGCCTCGATTGACGCCCAAAGCACCACCAAGAAGGTTCGTAATGTCATTGCCAAACACCTCCACGTAGCTGGCACCAAGGTGCACCTCAAAACCTGCCTCACGCCTCCGCTCGATCGCGAGCAAGACATCATCTGTGATGGTGCTCACCAAGCCATCAGAGCAGGCAGCGCCACCAAACATGGTGTGGGTCTTGCCACTGCCAGTTTGTCCATAAACGATTAAAGCACCACTCTTCCCATTCATCAGGCCTACAGCCAAGCGAAGTCCGCACTGGTCATGCACATCACACTGTGAGGCCGTGTGATCAAAGACACTTTGAAATCCCCAATTCCTTATTCCGATACCTGGCGAGACAGTCAACACTGACCCTGACTTTCCAGAGACCACATTGAGAATGGAGGCTGTGAAACCTGGTGCAGAGGGCAAATCGTCTGGCTTGTATGCAAGATCGGCCCTCTTCAGATATATTTCAGGTTCAGCATTGTTTTCGGTCTTGTTGATCATATTGTCCACAGGAATCTCTGCAAGCGGCTGCCCAGCACCACACTCTTTGTTGATTAGCATCTTCATAGCAGCAGCACGGGAAAGACTGGGGTCTTTCTGTTGCAGCAAAACAACACGTTGGTTCAAAGGGAGCTGAACAGGTGTTGATATGCTTAAGGTGCCATTTGAGTCGGAATCGTTTTTCCTGGCCGGCCTCACACGACAGAAAGTGGATACACTGAAGTGCAAGGTCTTCGAGCCCACACCATCAGCATGTCCTTGAAAGTGATGCCTTGTGGTGCAAAGCTCCTGAAGGAGGCTGCGGTAGTCACCTCCGCAAAGCACTTGCATGTCTTTGTTGCCTGGCAGGTACAAACGACTCTGTGTGCATAAGCATCTGCAAAGCCACCGCCAGAACTCTGCACTTGGGTCTTCTGGTTTGAATAGTTGGTGCACAGATTTCGATGTAGAAAGCAAGTTGAGACTGCGCATCCACGGAACGAAGCTGAATATCTCATAAATCAGCCAGCTGCGTTCGGCCGCATCTTGAATTAGCCCTTGCGGCCAAAGAATTTGAAGATTTGACTTGGCCACGTCAATCTGCGCACCATCAGACTGAGCCTCCCTGGCTTCTGCCTGCAACCCCACAGGAATTCAGAAAGCAATCCCCAAAGACATTCACCCATCTAACAGCAAATGATTTTGTTGGTCTACCTTTCAAGCTCTTTTGTTGGACAAAACAAATCTGCCTGAAGAGCACCGCTACCCATCTTTGCAAAACACTGGAGCCAGAAGCTGCAAACCACTGTAAGCATGTGAAGCTCCAAACTGAGCAAAGCATGGGAAACCGTCAAGGCCAAAGCAATCCAAAAAGAAACACAACCTCAAAGAGACCCCTCAAAGCTGACTCTGCCACAGACCTAGGCTTGTCAGCACGAGGATTCCGAGCCTTACAGCAGTTCAAGGCAACAAAAAGGCCACGTAACACAAAACAGTTGGTCAGTGAGAGATGGCGCAAGAAAATGACAAGTTCAAAATTGAAATGTTTACACGTGATGGTGTGGGAAAAAGGCTGTAGACTTTGCATAGGGTGGTAGCCTGGATTATTTGTTGGTGACAGCGCCCTACAAATACCCGATCTACGTTTTGGAAGATCTTGTTGGGGTGCCAACTACGTAGACGCCGTCTCACTGCAAAGTTTGGGCGAAGAACCAGCCAGTGTCAATAGCCCCCAAAGTCCAGATTCTGCACCTAGTACCATGAAGTAAATGTAGCAAATAATCTTCAGCGTCCAAATGCCAAACTACAGCCACATCAAAAAGAACAGATTATATAATTCTCAACGTCGGTGAAGCTCAGCAAACGAAGTCTGGCTCACAGTGTGCTTGTTTTCTAGGGGCGTAGTCTGCGTGTGCTCAAGGGCCCTAATGGCCATCGGGATGGACACATGGAAAACCTGCGCATGAATCGTGAATGCGACAGCATCACTTAGACAGGGGGAAGCTTTTCTTAACCGCCCTGTGGAAAACATTCAAAAGTCTGGCACCTTCTTTCACACCCGGCTTTCGTAGCAACTCACGTGCTCCCAAGCTCCATTGGTACGGGTGTGGGTCATCTCATTTGTCACATGGCTGTAGCTAGCATAGGTCTGCTGTTGCCGGTCTCGTCGCAGACCTTGTTGAAATCTCTGCCTTTCGGCTTCATGTGGATCTGCCTTGGTTTGATCGATCGCCTCTTCCTGCTTCTTTCTCCATCTCGCGAACCTCCACGTGGGTTTCCACAATGAGGTTGAAGCGGCTGTTGAGAAACCTGTGCCACTGTATCCACTGTCGAATCTCGGCATCAGTCGCGCCCACGCAATCTGACTTTAATGTCAGAGTGAGGTACTCAGGTACTCCTCCAACCGCTTCTCCGGGAGGATGTGCGTCAAGACATGCCCTCGCGTCTGCAAAGAAACTGCCTCCATCCAGAGAATCTCATTCGTCCATCGCCACTTCTGCTGACCTGCCTCAGCTCGAACTTCTTCGTAGAGACGCATCCATCTCTCTTTTGTCATAGGACCACACTCAATGATCTCTGGTCCTTCATCACCCACGTCCATCTCGTCTGACAACGGGGTCGTGTCATACTCAGGGTCGCCATGGCGCGCGGCATTCACAATCTCTCCATGGCGCGTTTCTACCCGAGGCTCGTCGACATACCCGCACTCCGTCTCATCGGCAGGGTGGAAGATCCGGTAGATCTTATTGACGATCAAGTGGATGACGTCCTTCACCAGCTGAGACGAAAAGAGCACGCCAATCATCGCAAACATCACGATCACCATGGCCGTGTTGGCCATCGGCTTGCCATCTTCGTTCTCACTCGTCTCATCCGCCGCCTTGACCACGGTCGCCTCAGAGGCGAGCAATGCCAAGGCACACTTTTGCGCGCTTCCCAGAAGCTCATTTCTAGAAGCTCTTCTAGCAGAAGCTTTGTTTTGTAGCTGGCAGCTCTGCTTGAAGCTTCTAGAGATTCTTAGAGAAATCTCCTAGAAGCGCTTCCTGGAAGCCCTTTTTGGTACCTAGAAGCGCTTCTAGGAAATCCTAGAAGCGCTTCTAGGGATGGCCTAGAAGCTCTTTTAGGAGCTTCTAGGAATGGGGATGTGGGAGTGCATGTGAGCTTCCAGCACAACCAACACAAAGACTCCCACAAATTTGGAGCGATCACATTGCTACTTTGAGCAGCAGTGAAACTATGTGCCTGGTAGCAGGCATTGTCCCTAGGTCAGGCATTCCCCATGGAAGAGTCTGGAAGAGGCATTGTGTGTAGGTCAGGCATTCCCAATGGAAGAGGCATTGCGCCTAGGTCAGGCATTCCCAATGGAAGAGGCAGCCTGGTTCAATGTGAGGACAGGATTGGCTGCCATCCATTTCAGCAAGACCTTTTCGACAAGAATGCTGGCCACCCCTTCTATAGAATAGGGCTTGAACCTGACCAGAAAAAGTTTCATCTCCATAGTTCCAGGAATCTTTGGGGTTTGCTCCCAGTGAGATTTCATCCATGAGGCGCTCAAGCAAATGCATTTCAGGTGAAAGTGTCATCTTCATCCTTGGCGATAGCTGCGGCTTCCAGAGCCAAGTACTGGCCTTTAAACGTACCAAAATATTTCACCAGGCCCAAAGGATTGAACTTCTCCGTGTTTTCATAGGCCCTCCCCACAGAACCTGGCCACATTGAATACAGCTTTCTGATGGTTGGAGACTTTGTCCAGGCTTTTGTTTTGGGCAAGCTTTTCCAGCGCAGATGTGCAGAAATGCCTAACACCAGCTTCCAATTCAGCATGCTTTTTGGGTTTCTTAATGTCATTGTGCCTGAATTTGCTCCTTGTCGGTGCAGTAGTCGTCTTGCATGTTCTTCCTCGTTTTCTCCATGCTCAACGGCTTGATCTTGTTCACATACTCCCGCAAGGACACGCTGATCACTTCCATATCGGGACTCCGTTGGACTTCAGCGCCACATCTTCTCTCCGAAGTCCCATGAGCCGAATCGGAATTCTGGGCGAGCAAGTTCACCCGATTCTGGAAGTTCTCACATGCTGCGGCTGCGTCGGCCTTCACCTCATTGAGACTGTAGATGCCTTCCCCAGCTCCCAGGAAATCGTCGACATGTAGCACAAGAGCGCAATCCACGATCCAGTAACCACCCTTGTTCTCGAATGCATGGTTGATCAGGCCGATCTCGTTCACCAAATAGTCATTGGCAGTGTCATTCCACTGTCGCGGCGCCCGAACATCACCAAACGCGGGCTCCGTAGCCTTGAGGATCTCGTGGCTCTTCGCGAAGCTCAAATGGGACTCTTCCTCATTGGACCTCTGTTTTCAATCTCTCTCTCTCTCTCTGGGCACTTGTTCGGAGATTCAACCTTTGCATTGCGGACCACTTTCGGCAAGGAGGGGGCCAACCACACAGCGTCAGGGCTGACTTCTCTCAACAGCTCGATGAACTCCTGCCGAACTTCCTTGTCATTGAAGTCCCAATCGGGCAAAGAAAATCCAGAGACTTCAGCATCTTCGTAGTTGTTGGCGAGGTGGTCGGAAAGGTTCCCTAGGTCCACATACAGTGATCTACCGCCAAGTTAAGATACTTATAACTAAGTTAGTATAGTTTTGGGAGATAAAAACTACTTATAACTAAGTTATCATAGTTAACTTAACACAATTTATAACTTTTGTAACTTAGCCAACTTGAAAAGTACATTGGAAAATAATGGAAATCACAAGTGTGAGTCAAACGACTAAAAGGTTTTGCAAAAAGGTACGCGGGGCACCGCACATTGGAAACATGCGCGTTTATTGAAGGGACGGGCAACCGCCGCAAAACCTCACACACGCACACACGGCATACACACAAAGCTGTGGGTGGACCACCGCCCACCAACAAATTTTTCACAGGAGGCATATCACAGTGCTCTCTGTGAGATACCGCCAGGCTGGCCTCTCCTCCGCAGCTGCATCCTCATAAGGGACCGTCTCGACCATCCCAGACTAGGGACTTTCTGGACCATCGGAGACTCAGGGACCGTCTCCACCACCTGAGTCTCACAATTAACCTGTGGTGTGTCTCGAGGCGAGAGTCAGGGGAAGCCATGGTCGAAGCCGAGAAAGCACGCAAAGAGGAGGGCCAAAGGTCTTGACTGCTTGGACCACAGCCGAACACGTACAAACACATTTTGAACACATTCTTAACGCACATGTGTTACAAATGTGTTAAAATGTGTCAAGTAAAGAAACAAAACACGAACACATATTGAACACATGTTTAACACATATGTGTTTAAAATGTGTTAAAATGTGTTAAGTAAAGAAAAAAGACATGAACACATTTTGAACACATTATTAACACATATGTGTTGAGAATGTGCTGAGAATGTGTTCCATGTGTTATATTAGTAAAAAAATCCGTGGACCACCACTCCAAAATACAGAGTATTCATTTTAGAAGTTCATCTATATCTTGAATGAGTGGGCCACCACTCCAAAATACAGAGTATTCATTTTAAAAGTTCGTTAATATCTTGAATGACAATGAGTGGACCACCACTCCAAAGTACAGTGTGTCTAAATTTTCTTGCCTCCAAAATTGAATTACACGCGCTTCAGGGACAAAGGCTATACTTAAGTCAGAATGCAGCCCATCATGTGAGGATTCCAAAGTGGACCACCGCCAAAAGATCAAAAGGTGGACCACCACCTGCATGCCAAGAAGGTGGACCACCGCCCCGAAGCAGAGAGTTGTTGATTTAAAAGAAAAGTGTATGAAAAAACACGAAACTGCTTTTGGTGACATAGCGCTTTCATGTCTGCAGTGTCAGGTAAAATGTTCAAAACAAGACTTTGAAACGCTAACTAGGATAACTTATCTAACTTTTTAGCGTTTGGAGCTAACTTTGTTATAAGTTGGTTAAAAACACAACTTAGTTATAACTCAGATATAAGTTCGCATAGACTCTAGTGAACTTAGACTATGCTACACCATGCTATAACCTATGTTACACCAGGTTATACCTATGCTACACCAAGTTATAAGTAAGGGTAACTGGGCGGTAGATCACTGTAGACCTCGAAGAACTTCAGTTTCTCTTTTCTCGCAAGCGTCGAACCGTCTTCTCCGCAATGCTCTCCACTTCGAACACCTCCTGACAGTTCTGGGTTGCCACTGCCTTAAGCTCCATTGAAGGCTCAATGTCCCACACGTCAAGGGGTCCATCATCTTTCAATTCTGTCCCCTCTGGAGCTCCCAAGTTGGCCTCCAGCTCTTCGAACTGGTAGTAGGTCTCCTCAAGGGCGCGCTTCTTGGAAGACATCATCAAACCGAGCAAGAAATGTCCTCTGGCATTTCGCTCCGGCTTGAACCGCGAAGAGTTTCCAATCTTCATAGCGCCATGCTTGTGATCATGGGCAACTCCCCATTCTTCCAACGTAGGGCGTGCCGGAAGGAAGGGGGTCGAGCCGGGCACCACTGATGCAGTAACTTCCAAAAGCTGTCCACGCACTGCTGCTGTGAACGTTACCTCATAGTTGGACATCAAAGTCTCTCCACCGCCGAACCTGAACTGGCGAGTGACCTTGTTGGATACCACCGGCTTCAAGCTGCTGGTATCGTACTTCTCCAACCACAAATGCCAGTTGTTCTCCCCCACAATGGTGCGTGTTGCGCCACTGTCCACAATGGCCTCCCCGACCTCCGTCGCCGCGAAGAAACACTGCTCCATTGTGGCATCCATCCAAACTCGATCTTCTCCTCGTTCACAGCCTCTTCCACCATCGTCACTTCCTCAGTTACCTCTTTCACTCCCTGGGTCTGGCTTCTGTATCTTTTGAATCGCGGACCATGCTGTGGGTGGATCCGGAGAACGTCGACTTCTCACTGGACGCCGTCGTCGAAGTCGATGACATGGGTCCTTTTCGAAGGCCAGACATGGGGCGTCTGTTGAAAGGTGTGCGTCGAAGAAATCCACCACCTTTCCCTTTTCCTTTACCTTACCTTTCCTTTGGAGCTTCCATTCTTGCGGCCTCCTCGTACCACACTTCGTCCTCCTCCTCGTAGTAAGTCTCCTCCTTGGCGTTGGAGGCAGACTGCCGACTGAGGTCTCGAGAGCTCGGCTTGCGGTCTCGACCGAACATCCGAATCAGGGCCTTGCTCACCTTGTCATAGTCCAGGTCCCCTCCACACATGGCCTTTATCTCCACATGCGTCCACCGGGACGCCAGCTCGGGTCAGTAGGTGCCACCCTGAGAGAAGTGTGGGCACCTCCACGTTCACCTACTTCATGCGCTTCAGCAAGGTCTTGTGGCGGATGAGGTATGCTTGAAGTTCCTCACCCTTGTTCCTTTGGAATTCACTGAAGAATTCATCACACCTCGATGGGACTTCGATGAGGAGCAAACGGAACACCAGCTGGAAAGGTGCCGTTGATCTCTCCACTTCATCGAAGCTCAGCTGCTCTGCTGCGTCCCACGCCACATCTCGCAACTTGCTGATCACCAGGAAGGCTCCCTCGATGGAAGTCTCACGACCACGGCGATCACATTGCCGTTGAAATAGTTCCCACCGTCTCGTGAAGCTGCGGTAGGTCTTCTGGGATAAACCTTCTGACGAGGGACATGCTTTTGCCAATCCCGAGTCTAGGCCACTTCGTTGTGGGGAGTATGGAAGTTGACGGGTTCCATCACCATCCCGTTCAACATTGGCGAACAGACCACGTCCAGTCGTCGTAGGCGCTGATGCGCTCAGCAAACGAAGTCTGGCTCACAGCGTGCTTGTTTTCTAGGGGCGTAGTCATAGTCTGCGTGTGCTCAAGGGCCCTAATGGCCATCGGGATGGAAACATGGAAAACCTGTGCATGAATCGTGAATGCGACAGCATCACTTAGAAGAGTTATATAGGTTGGAGGTCATCGCCATTGCTATTAGCACAAAAAATGCTCTTCCTCAGCGCTCCCAGAGTCAGCACTACAGATCTGCGCACGGCAAAGAACTCGTCTCTGGGCTCAAATGGGTTTGTATGGCGTTGTTTGCAATTATGGCATAGCATGTGCCACAAAACGCGCTATACAAATTTAACAGCATGTGATGTTACGAACATCATGTTGCCACATCATGCAAGTTCTCTTGCCCAGTCCAACATCTCAGACTTTGGGCGTTCAGCCAAAGTGCTGCAGAATTGCGGTTGACCTTTCCAGACCACAGTTCTGCCTGGAAATGAGGTCGGCTGATGGCCTGATGGCTAATATGGATAATAAACAAATGCGCAGCTTCTTGCCTCTTCATGTCGGCGAGCACGAGTCAGCGCACTTACAACGCTGTTCAGGCCTCGCAAGAACAAAGAGCTGGCACAAACACTTGCAAATCTGTTTTCATCGAGTCTGCGACTAGCCATTGATACTTCTACGCCGAGACCTGAGGCCGTTCAATTCACCCAGTCAACTGTCAACTGTACAGTGTAGTACTAGTACACATTCGTCCAAACGTTCTGACTGAGGCCAATTGCGCTCTGCTTCTGACAGCCAATGAATGGCACGATCAACATCACCACCCTTGGAGAAAACAAGTGGCAAGCTAAAAACTGTAAATCCAACTTTTGATTGGGAGTCCAACTCGTACCCAGGCTTGCGCCAGCGAATTGTAGCAAAACCTCGAGGTGGTGAAACATGTATAATATGCGTCTATGCCCCAATAAACAAAAACAACTAACGCAGGCCACACGTTGCTTGTGTATGTAAAAAGCATGCCTGGCACCCTTTCGATACCTAGGCAATCCTATGCATAAGTTTAATGTTTGCCAATTTGTAAAGTTGTACAAGAATTACATAAAACTTGGCGGAGTGTGGGTTTGAAACCAAGTCAACCCCCATCACCACCACCACTGAGGTTCCTACAGCCGCTAATGATTTGCTGTTGTGTCCTTTCCGCATCCTATTGCTTCTCATTCTTTCCTGTTTTTGTTCCATCTTTGGTCCTGCAACTCTGGGCTCGTCCATTTTATCAAAAATCCGTACTATATATACAACTCCCAACTCTATCAAATGTTTTCCAAATATCTTTTTCAAGGGGTAGTCCATGGACACCCCGGGATTAATCTATTGATATGAGGTTCGCAATACATTATATGCGTGTTTTCCGGTTGCAGAAGATGTTCGTCACCGAACCACTGATTTCTATTCATGCGCCTTGATGTCCTTTTGCTTTCCTTGGATTTCCCGATTTCAGTTTGTTCCCGTGCAAGAAGCAATCCTACAGAAGAAATATGAAGAAATTATTCTTTTTCCATGTCCTTTTGTTTCCTTAAAGCAATTCCTACGCCAGACTCCATCAAATTGTACTGACTCATTCGTAGAGACTGCCCTACTTAGCCCTACTTGTTTGGTCGGGGAGGAATACTCGCAAATCAAGGTCAGGTTGAAGTGTACGCAGCGCACTTCTGTACGACTCATGTCTTTGTTTCCAATGCCAATGACAGTATTTATCTGAAGTTTTCTTACATGTCATTTCCGCATTTCCTTCTCAAGCGCTTGAATTTAGCTTCAGTTGTTGCGAATGATGATGTCACCATTTGTTTTCGCAGACCCTTCGCGCATGTCTTTTGCATCAAGAAAGACTGATCTCTATGTATATATACAATCTACAAACTCAGAATTCCAAGGACAAGGCTTGCCCTCGGTTCATTCATCTCCATACTCTGCAGTCGATCCGGCAATTCTACTCCCATAATATAGTACAGTAATATGTTGGTGCATTCTATCATGTGCAGGCATGCGTATGCAGAACATATGATGTCCTTTTTTAAGAAAAAGGTCGCCATAGATTTGTACATCCATAGGTGCAAGGACAACCCTGTGTATTTTGCCTCGGAAACAAACGTGTCAATGTGGAATTGAAGTGTTGCGATACCCAGCATCCAGCTGAGCTGGCAACGAGCTTGGTTTGTCTCCTTTGCCGTACAGTTTGGAGAGCATAGTCCGCATCCTGGTTGGGGCAAAGCTGCAGTCTGATTGATAGTCTGTGATACAGTCAGATTTACGCTCAACGCTGAGGATGGATCCAGTTGTCAGCTCGTTGAGGTTCCTGTTTGCAAAAAACTATGAAGCGGGAAACGATTCCAACTAGCATCATTAAGCCTGGGCTGCGCCACACGCATGGATCACCTGCAAGGTCAAGAACAATTAGAGTTCACTTTCCGGAAGTGTATGATGGGTACTGAAGAACAAACACGTCAGGGTCACGGTGCTGTACGTGACGTCATCCGGCTGAATGCCAAAGTTTGGCATGTCCTGCACTAAATGTGTTGTGTTTACCATGTCCCATTCAAACATTCCTTCGCCCACCCTACTTTTGATCTATATCCCCCCTTATATTGACTATTCTGCGGGATTTTGAGTAGTTGTGGTGGACTCAATGATGGCTCCTTGCTCCTGTCCTTGACATTGATGTCATCACCAACTGCAGTTTCTCTTGGCGTCGTTAGCGACCGTGGGTCTTTAGATGTTTTCAGCACGTGTTTCACTGCTTTGCATGTTCGTTTGGAGGGCTGGGGGGACATTCGCTATGATTGCGAGCAACCTGATCACGCACGCCGCTTCGCAGAAGTTGCACCAAGATGATGCTGATGCTCCGTATGTAATTTGGTCTTGGTGTGGAAACGGGGTTGGGTGGGGTGGAGGGAGCGGGGCCACAAAAAGAAGAAGAAGAGAGGGACAGCCCCTTTTTTGAAGTGTGTCCTGCAGTACATGCACTTTTGTGCGCTTTGTAAAATTTTCCCGGCAAGAGACACCAAACAATGTTTTGAGGTCTAAGGTCTAAAGGTGTAGACGCAGAAGGTCTAGAGATCTAGCCGTATTGGCTTCCAGAGAGATCTAGGGGTAAGTCAATTTCCTTCTATTTGGGTGTTGTCAAATTGCATTTGGGTCTCATAGTTTTGGGTAGCATGTCAAGTCAAGGATTGGGTCACTCCAAATGTGGGAAGATAACACCCCACAAGCGCGCTTGTTTCTCGGCATGTTTGGGCGGGCTCAGTCATCATGCATCCACCTGGCGACAAAGTGGCCAAGGTGAGTGGCCAAAGATACAGGCGCAGCGTTTTGTGAGATCCGCAGATTGCTGCGCAGTTCCATTGGGATTAGCGTTTGGAGAGTCGTGTTTTTGGGGTGTTGGATGTGGCCGTGCCATTGGGATTTGCATTTCAGGGTGTGGCATCAAAGCTCGGTTTTCGTGACAAGTCTCAGCTGAAATGCCGATTTTGGTGGATGGGAGTGTGCTCAGAACGGGTCGAAATCATTCCAAACGTGTGGTGTGGTGCAAATTTTGTTGAAGCTCACATGAGATGATATTGTCACTTTTCGTAGCAGGCGCAGGACTTTGTGCGGGTTTTGAGGCGTGGAAGTGCGATTCTTGTGGCAGGCGCAGGGAATCGTGAGGGTGCGCGTTAGACGTGTGGACGCGGAAAGATTCGTGGCAGGTGCAGGGAATCGTGAGGTTGTGAGTTGTGGTAGAGGTGAATGTCGCTGTCACATTGGGATTGGCGTGTGACACGGATGTTGTTTGGAGGGGCTGGAATCGCGAAACTGCTTGGCAGGGCTGCGTGATGTGTGCGCTCCGATGGGTGTTTCCGCTTGACTTTTGGAGGAAGTCTCGTACGAAACGCTCGTTTTGCAGACTTTGACGTGTGAGTTTTTGAGGAAGTCTCGTACGAAACGCTCGTTTTGGAGACTTGACGCGCAACCCTCTGCGGAGATCGCACGCGTCGAGTGTGCAAAATGCAGGCGAGAGTGCGCTTTGTCCGGCGCCCGCGCAACCCTCTGCGGAGATCGCGCGCGTCGAGCGAGCGAAATGCAGTGTCCTACAGGACTGTCCCGCAAGAGTGTCCTACAAGAGTGTCCCACAAGAGTGTCCCACAGAGTGTCCCACAAGAGCTCCGTACAAGAGTGTCCCACAAGAGTGTCCTGCAAGTGACCCACAAGAGTGTCCCACAAGAGTGTCTCACAAGAGTGTCCCACAAGAGTGTCCTACAAGAGTGTCCCACAAGAGTGTCCCACAAGAGTGTCCTATAAGAGTGTCCCACAAGAGTGTCCTACAAGAGTGTCCCACAAGAGTTTCCTACAAGAGTGACCCACAAGAGTGTCCTACAAGAGTGTCCTTCAAGAGTGTCCCAGAAGAGTGTCCCACAAGAGTGTCCTACGAGAGTGTCCCACACAAGTGTCCTACAAGAGTGTCCCACAAGAGTGTCCCACAAGAGTGTCCCACAAGAGTGTCCTACAAGAGTGTCCCACAAGAGTTTCCAACAAGAGTGACCCACAAGAGTGTCCTACGAGAGTGTCCTACAAGAGTGCCACAAGAGTGTCCCACAAGAGTGTCCTAGAAGAGTGTCCTACAAGAGTGTCCCACAAGAGTGTCCCACAAGAGTTTCCTACAAGAGTGTCCTACAAGAGTGTCCCACAAGAGTGTCCCACAAGAGTGTCCTACTAAGTGTCCTACAAGAGTGACCCACAAGAGTGTCCCACAAGAGTGCGCCACAAGAGTGTCCCGCAACAGTGTCGCCCAACATTGTCTCACAACATTGTCCCTTTAGAGTGTCCGACAAGAGTATCCCACAAGAGTGTCCTACAAGAGTGTCCCACAAGAGTGTCCCACAAGAGTGTCACACAAGAGTGTCCTACAAGAGTGTCCCACAAGAGTTTCCTTCAAGAGTGTCCCACAAGAGTGTCCCACAAGAGTGTCCTACAAGAGTGTCGTGTAAGAGTGTCCCACAAGAGTGTCCTGCAAGTGACCCACAAGAGTGTCCTACAAGAGTGTCTCACAAGAGTGTCCCACAAGAGTCCTACAAGAGTGTCCCACAAGAGTGTCCTACAAGAGTGTCCCACAAAATTGTCCCACAAGAGTGTCCTATAAGAGCGTCCCGCAAGAGTGTCCTACAAGAGTGTCCCACAAGAGTTTCGTACAAGAGTGACCCACAAGAGTGTCCTACAAGAGTGTCCTACAAGAGTGTCCCAGAAGAGTGTCCCGCAAGAGTGTCATTTGGACATATGTAGTTTTTCGAACGTGTTTCCATTCGGGTTCGTGGGTTCCATCTTGTTGTATTTCTGCTTTTTTTATTCAATAGATAGCCTTCAAGTTTTTCATCAAATAATAGTATATATTTTGTTTTTGATTTGTCTTTAAGTCGGTTTAGAGAACTTTATTTATTATTTGAATATATACTTGAAGAATAGTTATTTAAGTATATTAGTACGATGGATTGTATGAAGGATTTACCTGTTGATGTGTTGAGTAAAACTGTTTCTAAAAAATTGGAGAAACTGAATATGTGCGAAAATAAAGCATTGTGAAGCTTTGAAGAGAATACAAAACACATATAAAGTATCAAGACTTGGTCCGAAAATAGACAGAAAGATAAGACCAAAGAAACAAAATGTATATAATTGAGTATTGTATTATGAGAGAGGGAGCGCCCAACGGATTCTACAAGTAGTTGGAGGCAGGCGGGCTGCCGACGCTGGTGGTTACGATGGCAGGTGTTCAGGACACTTGAGATCACCAACATTGCACATGTCAAAATGTGCGCTTCCTGCGTGAACGCAAGCAGGTCTCTCAACAGTGGTGTTTGAAACATCAACGATTTTCGGGGCTGTGCCCAGTGAAGATGGGTTTTGTGCTGGCGTGTCAATCGGAGGATCACGATGCTAAGAGCAATTTTTAAACAGCCCCAACCCAGTGAGTTTTTAAATCTTCAAGTTCAAGTGTAAACGCTCCGAAGAAGGATGTTTCAATGACTTCAAGCACAAACTCACAAACGCTCCCATTTCAACAGTGGGGAAGCGTTTATTGGGTGAGACAAGGGAATCGCAGTAGCATAAATTGGAACAGTTTAAAGAAAAGAGCCGGCAAACAAGACCGCCGAGAACTGTGCCTTGTTATCGAATTAAACGAAAGAATCACCCTGTAGCGTACAGTCGAGCAGGTATATGGTTGAGCATCCCCAGGCTTCATTGGACCAGGTAGTCACTGGAAACCTGATCTCTCTGTTCCAGTCAGTTGGTACATTAAAGTTCAAAAGCACCCTCCTACTCCAAGGGGTCAACACACGCACACGCCGTTGAAGGGGCTATCTGGATTCTTACCCCGCTTGTACAGGGGCATCAGCTATCAGCGGTATTTCATCTTGCCTCGGTGGTTGCTGTTACAAGCAACTGCACTTGATCTAATTACACGCAGAACAAACAAAGTATTCACGTGTCAGTGATTAGAGAACACTGAGGGGAACAGGTCTGCTGCCAAACGACAACTGCTTCTGCAACAACCTGCAGCGCAGACCTGTGAAACATCAGAGGTTTCTGCGCTCCTGAAGCCATTTCTCAGCGCGGTCCACATCCAATGCCTCGACCGACAAAGGTTTTGCTGTTTGAATGCCGCTTGTCTGGCAAGAAGCAAAAACTCTTAAACATCCATGCGCGCAGGTTTGTTTCTGGCTTGTTTTCCAGCAATCGCACGAAGGTTTAAACGCCTGCCCAAGGCTGAAACTCAGAAGATCCGCAAGCAGGTTCACACAGTCGTTTCATGTGATCCAATAAATAACACAATGGTCTTCATTGTGGCTTTCATCTGGTGAGTGTATTGCGGGGCTCAGCGCTGCCTCATGAAACGGGAGAGAAACCTTCGCACATTGCTCGACTGAGTACCACTCAGCGTGGGCACTGTATGCTGCTGGTTGTGACTAACTACCGTTCTATCGAAGTACAGGTCTTTCGTTGTGGAAAGGCGCTGAGATGAATACCATCCATCGGACACAAAGTCACCAACGAATAGGCACGGCAGAGCCACCCTTGGGGCCATTGGAACGAGTATACAGTATAAGTCTTTCAATACCAAAAAGGCGTGGGCGTTTGAGACAAGAACACAATATATATAAGTATAAAAACAAAGAAGCACAAGACATCTTACTCAGTAAGGCAAGTAACTCGCGAGGTCCAGGTCCAAAATACAGCTCCGACAAATCTTGCGGTGGTCCTCCTCCACTAATTGATTCAAAGTGGGCTGGATTTACTGCACCACTTAAGCTGATCACAAAGCTTGGGCTCACAAGACCTTGAAAGCGTGGATCTTGTTGATGCTTCAAAAGGGCAATAGTATGAACCATTTCCGCTCCCTGCGAGAAGCCCAGGACACCATCAATTGGTTCCTCCGATTCTTGTGCTTTCCAAAGCTCGTCTGCAAGCTTTGTTGTTGCTACCTCCATTTCAGCCCAGTCTAATGGCCTGTCTCCCATACCATTCTCATCATACCTCCACCACTGGCGCCCATCTTCCCGCCGAGATGCTTCTGGCAAAGGGGCCCCACCCAATGGCCAAAGCAACATCTCTAGCTTCCGAACTTCCGAGATTCTTGCGTCTTCGGTTGTGAGGACACTTTGGAACCTCTAGCTTGCTGCAAAGTCGTGCAGGAGTTCCTCCATGGCCATGAAGGCAAAGTAAGCGTAGTCTCTTTTCGGGCGATTGGTCAGAGGTACCAGAAGTACCCACCCGGATCACAGCCATGGCTTTGGATTGGCACTGATTTACCCAATGTTCGGTGTCTCGTTGTCTCATGTCTTTTCTTGTTCTCACTAAATTCAATTGACCCTGGGTTTCATGCAAAACTGTTGAGCTACGGCTACGGCTAGGATTGCAGGAGTGCGAAATTGGTGCATCAGGCAATGACCTACGAACACCCTCCGGCAAGTGACACCTGAGCTGTGTCATTTGAATGTTTGCCTCAGGGGCTTGAACAATGTTGGCGCTACTTCTAAGGAGCTTGATGAGCTGGCATGTGTTTATCCTTGAGTTTCTCTCCTCATATTTCACCTCTATCTCGTTTTGGCGACGCAAAGCTGCAGGAGACAGGGTTTGGAGTGCTTCTCTCACACACAAGCACACTCTCAGTTTAGTTTCGAGGCCATGGCTTTCGCACATGCGTTGACCAAAGAGTTGAAGGTGAGAACGCCAGGCTGAAAGCCCTGTTTCACCATCCTCAAAAAGCTTCTTTGACGAAATCCTGACAAACCTCAACCCCCCTGAGCCCTGAGCAAATGTACTCAAGAGATTTCAAGCGTGAGGAATCTCGGCTCTAAGCTTGTGAAACCAATGCTCAGCACGCGTAACGTCGCCACCTGGAATTCGACCGATGAGTCACTGAGCCGGCGAACAGAGCCACATGCCAGTTCGTGAAGCATTTAACCATCGCTGAGGACCAAACATCTGGCACAGGCCTGCAATTTCAACTCACTGTACCCCCACTATCTTCATCTCTCTTCCTCTCTCTCGAAACGCCGCCTTATTGACTTGGCCCTTGCAACACTGCTGAACACTGGGTACAAGGCATTGATCGCACTGTTGTAAGTGACAACATTGGCCTGCACCTGGCAGGCAAATTTCAAAACTCTCACGAAAACGCGCTCTTTTCCGGCTAAGTTTGAGCCACTTGTATCGGTTTGTCACACTGATAAGAACAGATCTTCAACTGCTCTCTCTGTGTGCGTCATCCTGTACACAGGGGCCATGCTAACATGTGACACCCCGCCTTAGGGATCAGCGGTCCTTTAGCTGGGCCCTACAACAGTCCAGCTTGTGCAACTTCGCTGGCTACCCAACTCAGTGGTGCTGCTGCGTGTCTCGCGCATTGATTGCACTTTTCTTTACCAGCTTGTCAAACATTCTGAATTCATTCTTCTGGATCGACATTCTCCTTGTCGTCTTGTTCTTCATGCTCTTCGGTGCCATCAGCCTCATCATCTGTTTCTGCACCGGTTTCACGGAAGTATTCTTCCTCTTCATCAACATCCATTGGATCGTAGTGCCACTCGATCCATGTATCGGGATCTTCACTTTCTTCTATTGGGCCTCCAACTCCAATTCTCTGCTCTTCTGTCTCATCATTTGCTTCCTCCTCTGCTTCTTCTTCCTCATTGTCTGTGTCATTGGCTCCTCCTGGACTTGTTTCGTTGTCCGTGAAAAATCCAGACTTGACCCGTTCTCCATCCATTTGTTGAATGTAATGGTCGCTGAGTGGTAGGCTAATGGATCTTGCCTGCCACGCAACAAGAGCAAATACTGCAAGTATCGAAGTGTGTTTCTTGCAGCTCGAATGTCACTCCTCAAGTCAGGATCTCTCTGGTATTCCAGGCTCCTGATGCGTTCATTCAAGTTCTTGCACGCCAGGGTGATTGAGACCTCTGGTCCGTGGCCTTCATTGATGTGTCTTGTTCTGAACTCATCAAACTCTTGTGGATAAATTGGTATTCCAGCTAAGCCCCAGACAACCATCGTCCTCATTGAGCCTAGCACAAACCACGTAGTGTCATTCTCCATGTCTCCATAGTTCTCGGCATAGTTTGCTGGGTTGATGCCGAAGTTCAAAAGACTTGTTGCCACTCTGTCTGAAATGCTTGGTCTGAAAATGTTCTCTTCTCCATTTGCTGCTGCATCAGCATCTGGTCCTCTTGATGATGAACTTGGTTCGAATCTTCTTGAAGATGAACTTGCTTCTTGCTGCTCATCCTCTTCTTCATCGTCACCTTCTGTTTTCTTTCTCTTCTTTTCGTCTGCCTTTTCATTCTTCTTTTCTTCACCATCATCTTGCTCATCTGGTGCTTCCATAGAATGAACTCCTTCCGTCTGCATGACTCTGCTCTGTCTTTCTTCAGCCTCAACATCATTGCTTGCGCTTGCTCTTCCGCCAGCTGCTGCATCACCATTGAACTTCTGTGTGTGATTCTTCTCCTCGGTGTAGATGTCCTTGCACTGTGCGATCTTCCATAGATGTAGCCGTCTTCATCCATGAAATCTCCTCCATTCGGTCCCCTGTCATCAGGAAACTCGTCATCATCGTCTTCATTTGCTTCTTCTTCTCCTTCTCCTTCACGGTAAGCATCTTCGTCTATATGCCTCAACGGATCATCTCTCCGTCGAAGGTTGAGCTCTGCTCTCACCTCTCTCCATGCTGTTCGATATCCTGCCAGTGCCATCCTGGTCTTCTGAATTCGGAACACCATCGCTGACATCACAAACAGTAAAAACATCACCGTGATGCTCAACAAACAGATGCACCATGTACTTTGGACTACTGCTGTCTTCATGCCATCACAGTTGTCCTCCACTGGTGAACATCCCTTCAAAAGACCTGCCACCATGAGCATCTGCACAACGCGATGGACTCCAGGAATGCTTGTTGGTTGGGAGCTGTCACTGCGCAATCCAATGAGTCGGGCTAGATGCTCTCGTCGTTCTCTCGACAGTGCCTTTGTGTTGAGATCGGCAGGATTCTCCTTTGTTGGGATTCTTCCAATCTTGTACCATCCACGGCGCATAAAGCTTCTTGTCCCCACAAAATGCGGGTACACAAATGCTTTGCTCTCCCTGGTCCCAGGCGTTGGAAAAAGGCCTGAGCCGATGTAGAGTCCAGGAACATCTTCATCTCTACTTTACTGTTGTCTCCTGGATCCTCTTTGCACCCAAGCAAAATTGAAGAGCTTGTTTGACAGCAATGCCTTCTGCCAGAAGACTCGTGGCTGCTAGCACCTCTGCCTCCATGCTCGAGAGGGCTATCGACGTCTGGCCTCGGGAATGCGAGTGAACGCAGTTCCCATTGTGCAACATGAGGCCGGAACTTGTTGACTTTCTTGACGCCTTGGATGATGCCCAATCGCTGTCACTGAAAAGTTTAAGGGAGTGTGCATGGGCTCCTCTACTCACCTGCTCACTTGTAAGATGCTTCCACCTGCCAAACACGCTGCATTGTCCTTCTGTCTTCTCGAACCTCAGCGCCATGTCTTGAGTCGTCTGCAGGTACATTGTGAGCTTCTTGATTGCAGCCATAGCTGTCTTGGTAGGACTTGCCATGTAGGTCGACAGAATCCTCACACTGCGCTGGACGTCGATGCGCTCTTGGCTCAAATAAAGACACAGTCCAAGTGCACTCCTGAACCGTTTGCTTTCTTCTGAACCTAAGCGCTCATCTTCTTCCACAACTGTTGCATCAAACACATCCAAGCTGGAATGGGGCGGAACATATTTGCTGCTAGCGGCAATCTCCAGTCCTTGTTCATCGAAGGTCAACTTCGTCTTGAGATAGAAAAGTGTCCCTGGCAATGTCATGCCATAGGGACCATCAGCCTTCATTTTGAGGGTCTTGGAGAAGTGCTCAAGGAACTTGTAGTGGTCCTGCTCTTCAGCTACAAGGATGATATCCTCCACATGGACTGAAAGAAACTTGCGTCCTTTCTCATGTCGGTAAATCGTTCCTCCTTGGCGCATAATGAGCTGAAATGTTTGCGCCGTTCAAGCGCAGCGTTCCGCTGTCCTGGAAGACATCGCAGGAGTTTCCAGTAGACCAAATCTTCCCTTCCAAGGATTTCACGAATCCATGCAGGTACTTCAATCACCACAAACTCCTTCTGCACTACCTGCAAAAAGGCGTCGGAGATGTCCATAACTGAGATCATCAAATTCATCGTCACACTCAAAGACATCAGCAACTTGATGAGTGAAAGTGGGCTCATTGGACTGAACGCGTCGATGCTGCTTGCAGCTCCACTTCGAAACTCTCTTGCAACCAGGCGTGCTCGACGCAATGAACAACCTGACCTGAATCGCCAGTCGAACACCACTCTGGTGTCTAACTTCATGGCCTCCTCAACATTGTCTTGGGCCTCGAGATTGGCAACGACGGTCAAATCATTCAAGCGTTCAACTTCAGCCAACATCGCTTGCTGATCTAGTGCTTGAAGCTCATCCGCATCTACTTGCGGTGGACCACCTCCTTCATTGTAGAAGCCTCTCATCTTCATTTCATCTTCGCTGAGAATGGCCTCGCTCTTTGTGGAGGTTGTTTGGCTCCAATCATAGGAATCTTTATCTGCCTCAGCTTCAACTTCTTCGTCATCTTCGACGTAAATTTCCACCTCTTCAACTCTTCTTGTGTGCCTCTCTTGGTCTTTACTCTCCTCAGTGGTTGTGGAACATGAGGTTCTTGGTGCTTTGGTACTTGGCTCAGGAATGACCGTGTCCGGGTCGTAGTGAACCATCTTGGCTTTTCCACCTTGATCTCCTTCTGCCTTCTTCTTCAGGTGGAAATGGTCGTATCGACCCTTCTGCTGCCTTTCTTCTTTTGCACGATCTTCAATTTCTTCTGCTGACCTCTTCGGACTTGATGCTGCCTCTCTAAGTGGAATGCCAGCTGATGCACTTGCTGGTTCCTCATCTGCTGCCGATGCCCCTGGATGTTCTTGAGCGTACTTGAGGACATCATCGGCGTCTGCTCCCCTGCCTCATCTTGGACTTTCTTCTTGTCACCTTTCGAGGCTCTTGATGTTCCTTCAGGCTTGGATGGAACATCTGCTACCAACTCAGGTACTGGTGGAGGAATAGCTTTCGTTTCGACTTTGGTGTGGGCTCCTCTCTTCACATCCGAAGGTCCAATCGCTGCATTCAGCAAAAGCTCGCTATTCCAATGCTCTCCAGTTTCCCTGACTGCTTTGCACCTGACAATCTCGTTGTCATTGACCATCACCAAGTCGTGGTCCATGCTGTCTTTCCCAAGCCATACTCCAGGTCTCCATTGTGACTTGTACTTGGCCTGGAGTGGATCTAAGCCGTGCACTGTCTCACCAAAACAGCAAACTCGACCTCTGTATGGACGGCCCTTCACTGACAAATAGGCAGTCATGTCATGCCTGTTGAACTTGTCACATGGTATCGATTCAACAACCAGCATGCGTGAATCAAGCCCATGACTGAAGCGCGCGCTGCTCATCAAACACGATCTTGGCTCGGTCCTGCACATGTGAAATGATGGTCTTTGCTTGGGCTCTGACCGTCTGGATGTATCTTTCCGCCAGTGAAGTATGAGACTTGTCAGAGAATTTTCCAGCTTGCAAGATTGCGTGTAGCCCATTGTTGCTCCTGATGAGCTTTGTCATTGCGCCTGCAGCAAGGACGGGCTCATTGTCAAACGCAAGCTCGACCGTCTCGTAGTGGCCTGAGGCTTCCCAAGAACTCTGCAATGATCTCACCGATCACGCCCTGACTCTTATTCTTCAGGGGCTGAACGTGCAAGAATTTGCTCCACACATCAATGCACAGCAAAAGACAATTGTTCGCTGTTTGGAAGAACATGTCAACTTGCACTGTAGGATTTGTTCTTGCAGAGGCGTCGATGGGGTCACTTGGATACTTCATGTTTGCACGACTCTTCCCCATGACACAGAATGCACACCAGCGCTTGAAAGGTAAGTGCGTCACCTCGTGAAGCTTCCTTTCTCTCTCGCTGGGCTGAACAGGTGCCTCTACATAGCGAGGCTCTGGGCACAACTTTGCATAGTCTTGCCGTGCCACCTCGGGTGCTCTCCTCTTCAGCGACTGCTCATAGGAATCTCTGATGCGACTGAAGATTTTGGCTTTCGATCCTGAAGTGCTGAGCTTGAGGTAGTTTGCAGCTTCTTTGAGGTCCTTCACGCTTGATCTTTCTTGCATTTCACCAATGAACAACGTGTCTTCCTGGCCTGCTGGCTTGAAGGATGGGGCCCGAACAGGAAACTCGGGAATGTCCTGCCCTTCAATCTCTCCTTCACCAGGCTCTTCCGCTTTTGTCTCCTCTGCATTCATCTCTTGTTCACCGTCTTCCTCTGCTTCAGGGATCTCTGGCTCTTCTCCACCAATGATTGTTCTGAAACTGCTCAAGTGCTCATCGCGGTCTGCCAGAATTGTCAAGATCACATACTGCTCTCATCCTGCTGGGATCTCTGCTATGCGATCAAAAGGATTCTCTTTCTCCAGAAACTTCTGCGACAGTTCGACAACTTGCCATCCATCTTCTGGGTTGATCACCTTCTGGATCATTGTTGTCCTGAACGAAAAATTTGCTGACCACACTGCCCTGGGATCTGCATAGTGAACTCCCACACTCCTCATATGCGGGTGATTGTTGGTCACACCCCAACGTCCATAGGGCAACTCCGTCTCGTAGGTTTCGTTCAGCTTGATGACCGCTCTTACCTCAAACAGTTCTGGTTCATCTGAATCTGACTGCAGGATTCGGCACACGGTGGCCTCAATAGCGAATGAATTGCGTTGGAAAATGACTGGTATCCCAGCTTGTTGGTCAGGAGATACCAAGAACTGATCCTTTCCATCACTTTCCAACAACCAGCCATTCTTGTACAGCTCACCTAGCGACAAGATGCAATTATTGTGAACATTTCCAATCAAGAACCTGAGCTCGATCTCTTCGCCTGACATTGCATCATAGACAACCAACGTGGCCTCCTGCTGACCTGCCGTCTTAAGGCTTGAACCTTGACAGTCCTGCAACCTCACATCACTCTCATCCGGACTGTCATTGGCGTAGCTCAAAGGCAACAAGGACACATCCGACCCACTATCAAGAATCACAACACGTCTGCATGTTTCTGTTGCACTGTTCTCTTCAACCTCCTGGACGATCACGCACACTGAACCTTCTGCAACTGTGCTCACAGATGGTGGGCCAACGTGAAAAATCCTTCGCACTGCTGTGTTCAAGGTGGATGCTGTAGAACCACTGGCAACTGTGTTTGGTCCTGAACCAGGCCTCACTTGCTGTTGCTGATTCTGCTGTTGGACGTTTGTTTCTGTCACCTGTTGTACTCGTTGAAGACAATCTCGACTCCAATGACCATACCCGTAACAGATGCGGCACTGATTCTGTCCAACGTCACCTCCTCCTTTCTTTCCACCTTGCTTCCCCTTTGGCTTGCCTTTGGACTTTCCATATTGCTTACCTTTGTTCTTTCCTTTTGACTTGCCTCCTTTGTATCCTCGGCCTTTACCTTTTGGTTGCCCGCTGCCATACGGGAACTGCCACCACCCTTTGCCTTTCTGCTTTCCTTTCTGCTTGCCTTTGCCTTTCCCTTTCTCCTCAATCCTGTCAATCTCCATCGGAGCCGGGCCGCCGGTATCTGTGGACTTCATGTTCAGCGACTTCATGATCGACTCCTGTGACCAAGTTTTGCTTGAATGTTCATGGGAAAGTACGGCTTCTCTAATCTCCTGGTGGGTAGTGGACTCTTTGATTGTAAGTTGCAAAGGCTCCCTCAAGCGACTTTCACTGCAGCGAATGAGTGTGGCCGACTTCAACTCCTGGGGATAGGTTGAACCAGACATCTTCTCAAACTCTTGTACCAGCTGTTCGTGGCTTAGTACACATTCCAACACCGTCTTGTCCTTGGAGAAAGCCGGGTAGGCCGCTAAGGCCTGTGCAAGGGCAAGGCTCCTAGCTCTGGTGCTAGGAAGGTACTCCCTGCGCAGCTCTTTCCAAAGATGGAATCCATCTCTCTGCTCCAACCCTGATCTCACCAGGTGTAGGCATCTTCCCTTCAAGTAACTTGTCAAAATTGCAAACAGTCGTGATGAAAACTGCTGCTCCTCCTCCGAATACTCTGTCATTGAAGGCATGTGATCGAGTTGCTCCACTCGCTCTAGCAGCTTTTGGTATTTCGGTTCAGCAAATGTCAACCAGCTCAAGAAGACAAACTTCCAGGTAGTGAACCCGTGCGGATCGCTCCCATCAAACGGATCCGGATTGCGTAGCACCTTAGAAGCTGCTGTCAACCCTGATTGCAATGCTCCTGCAACACCGCTTGAACTGCTTGATGATGCTGCTTGCATCGCCGTGAGTGCATGCTCTGCTGCACTGGCTGCATTGGTTGCAGCTGTGGCCAACTGGGACATCTGTTGCAAGAAGTTCTCCTCACCTGCTGACTGCATCCCATGGCTTGTCCACATGCAGCTGAGAAAAAGCAACGTTCGAACTTGTAATCGCCTTTCCTTCAGGCTTCTAGCTCTTCTCCTTTTGTCCACTCTGCTTCGTTCACCTGCCATCAAGCTCAAGCGGCTCAACAACCAGACAACACTCAAGCTGACCAGCCATGCAAGCCAACAACCTGTTGCTCCAACTTGCTCGAATCAACTGAATTGCAACATGCTCAAGCTCTTGACTCTTCAACCTGTGGCTCCACACACTGCTCAACACCTGAACTTGCTTCGGAATGCGGCTCAGCCTCCATCTCAAACCATTCAACAGAAGCTCGCTTGTCCTGCTAGTCAACCACATCAACCAGCCTGCGCAAGGCTCGAACTTGTTCAACCATGCCAAGCTCAAATCTGCCGCCGCGTTGAAGCTTTGCGCCGGGCACATGTTCGATGGAGTGATTCGCGTTTTCACTCATCCTTCTCTCTCCAGGACCGTGTTCTCACTGCCACCGTGGGCTCCACACACATCTCAATCTCCTCATCCAGCGTCCTGTAGCGACCTTGCTCCCATCATTCATTGGCCTCAACTGCCATGTTCCATTCCAGCGCCTCTCGTCGTTCTCTTCTGTCACATTGTTCATGAACAGGGCCTCAAGCCCTCCTATCTTGGCTCCATTCTCACCACCTTTCTCCTCGTCATCCACAGCCTCGAACTGCAGCTCTCTGACCTCCGCGAAGTCGCTTTGACCAAATCCGACAGGCTTCCTCACGAAGTGCTCCACCATGCCATGGCTCCACACCAACGCCAAGGCCAACGTGGATGGAAGCTTCATCGCACCGGTCTACACCAGGTGCTCCGCTACCATCTCACGAAAACGTGCTTCTTTTCCGGCTAAGTTTGAGCCACTTGTATCGGTTTGTCACACTGATAAGAACAGATCTTCAACTGCTCTCTCTGTGTGTGTGTGTGTCATCCTGTACGCAGGGGCCATGCTAACATGTGACAAAAACATATGCGAATGCGGATGTCAAGTTCACTAACCACAAGATCTGGTTCCGGGTCAAAACTAGGATACCTTGGTTGCCTAAGTTGACCTACCTGGGAGGTCAACCTACATAGTGGGCAAGGACTCCGGGTTTTGACCCATCCCCTCTCTTCTCAGCACAGCCAGGCAAAGCTGGGCACAGCCAACTCACGTCAGGCCGAGGGCGCCCCATCCTGTTCCATCTGCTCAATCCAAGCCTTGGCCAAACAAGTCCGAACACAAACCCAAGCAGCAAGGTTAATGACTATCCAAAGGCTGGTCATGCGTCGAAGTGGCTTCAGCCCGCAGGAGGTCGTTGGCTTTTGCACAGGCCTTGCCGAAGTGGTCAAAAGACTCGATGTACTTGGTTTCTACACCTTCAATGTGCAATAAGCCTAAAGCCTTAAGCATTGTCATGAATTGTCACATTGAACAAACAATGGGGATTTGGTTAGCGAGTAAAGGGCACAAGGTTCCACGCATGGATCACAGAAGAGTAGCTCGCCACATCTGCCTGCGACCGCAACAAGGTTTCTACAGAGTTTCTTGGGGGTTGTTGTCTTTACTTTCGTTTTGCAATTTTTTTGAAGGCAATGTGCTCGCTTTTCTGCAATATTTTGGTTCTTTCTTCACAGAGTGACCAACGCAACAAGCACGCGCCTGCGTTGTTGATTTCAACATGCGTTTCAGCCAAAACTCTGCGCGATCCACGTCTCCCTGCCGCTTGGTCCACAATGGAAGGATGGAAGGGTTTTGGAGGGAATAAAATGTGGAGATTGATCAAAAGCCGATCAGTGACAAACACCCAAAACCCAATATTGACGACGAGGCGGAGGAGACGAAAGCCAGCCCCTGTAGGGATTGAAAAATCAACAATATTGTTGTTGTTTTTTTTGCCACGGGAAAGCAGAAGGCAGAGATACGCAAAGTTTCACATTGAGGTTTGATATGATCGAGCCTATATACACAAGGCCTTTACCAACCCCCATCCACCGTCACTGGTCATAGGGTAATCCCACGCTCGTGTACAAATGTCCAACTCCCTTGGACGTTTGCAGATCTAGGCTCTAGGGGGCGCCCTCTTTCGTGAGGTTTAGGGTCCTTCTTGCGCTCACCTCCAACATGATCCTTAGACCGTGGTAATTTTTCTCGGGGGACTATTGCATCAACCTTTCCAATCAATCTGCCTACATAAAGAGCTAGGTCAAGCACCGTGACCGTGATCAGTGATTTCAACTCAGCCACAAAAGCAACGAAAATCAAGCGCTACTTTCCTTCCCTATCGTCCAGTCTCGTCCTCTACTTGGACTCACACACCTGCTCAGCTCACCTCAGTATACCGCTTTGATACTCACTTGGAATGAGGAGGCAGTCCTGACTTGTAATGTACTCTATATATATCTGTATATATATATGATTGTATATGAACAGTTGCGCGTGAGTCTTTCTATTCACAGCGGCTCCTTTTACTTTTCCATTTCTTTCAACTCACGCTTCCTCGTTCGACTGGCAAGTTGCCTTTTGGCCGATTCCCTGGACTGATGTTTGAATTTCCCTTTTCGTTGGCTTCTTTTTCCTGCTCTGCCCTTTATCCCCTTTTCTGCGGCCCGTCACTATAGATTTATATTCGCAGTGCTACAGTCAAATAGATACGCGTACATCGTTTTCTCATATATCACGAACGCCAGCCGATAGGCTTGGCTGAGTCCTTGATGGGCGATCGACGAAGTGAGCAATAGGGGGTGTGGAGGGGTGGTCGCAGGGTGGGACCTGCCGGGCAGGGCGAACCCAGAGCGTGGTGGGGGAGAGCGAAAGAGAGAGGCGGTCCAAAAGGCAGGAAGTTCCACGTTGCACCGGTGGACGCCAGTTGCAAGACTCAGCTCGCCAGCCTTGAGCGACATGGACCGCCAACTCCTTCACTTGATACTTCTTGGCTACCCATGGTCTTCCGGCGCCTATAGGATACTGGTTGTCGGACAACCGCTTCGTCAATATTGCTCGTTCAACTGAAAGCCATCCTCGCGTGGGAGCCTCCACAGTCTCAATCCCACGCTGGAGCGCCGAAGGTTCCGCATCCTTGGCTGTCTAGGCCATGGGAAAGTTCTAACAGTTCTAACAAATTTGCTTGACAGTTTCACATTACCGTCTATTAGATCTCGTGGCTTCAAAAGACTAAAGGCCAGAAGCTGTCTTTTCCGGTTTGGACATGCGGCTTCGTCTCTGCGCCCGAAGCTGTTAACAAGTGTCGCGCTTTGATGGAACCTCGGACGACGACACCACCAACGGTAGTTCTTATTCTATCGTCAGCGTCAGTGGGAGACGACGGCGAAGTGAGGTGGTCGTATAGAGGCCGCAGTGGAGGCCCATTATGGCACAACCGCTGTTGGCTCAAACAGGGTCCTGCCGCCAAGGGCTTTGCTCAAAAATTAGACTAGAAGGTGGGCGACGCTGCCCGTCTCCCAAGTCAAGGAGGTCCAAAGCACTGACTTTGCCCTGGTTGCCCGGAAAAGCTACAATATACCCGGCCTGCATATGGGAACCTACATTTGCAAAAGCGGCGTCACATGGGTGAGGCGTTTGATTTTGGGCGTTGGAAAACTGTTTACTTAATTGGTTTGCACTGCCACACCTGGTCTTGATTGGAGCGCAATCCAGCTCAAGCCGCCTTGAAAGGCCCGCAACAAGCGAGTTTCAGAATCAGTCTGGGGGCTGTTTGTTATCAGATCCATTGGCAAGGCGCGCTGGTCAAGCGTCCTGGCAATATTTGCTGAGACATCATAGAGCTTTCTTTTCAGTGGCGATACTGCGCACAAAAGGCACAAGTTATAAAGCTCTCCAGATTGGACCCCGCTTGCGATACCGAAAGAGTTCATGAAGTTGCACACGCGTTCAGGCTTTCACCCTTCTCCCCCAAGGCCATCATGAACCACCCATAACACCACAGCCTTTCCCAGAAGAATCTCGCCAGAACTACCGGAAGGCGTCCAGAATCCAGCCGCCTAGAGCATTCAATTCGCAGGCGCGTCATACTGCGTACATTCCCTATACGATCTCTCAGACCAGCGTCTCCATTGCCAAGACAGCGCATCTTGCGGTCGAAGAAACGTCGCCCACCAATTGCAGTCTCAGAGGCCACTTTGCGCAGCAACATCACTTGCCGATTTGACTGCGCGCAACTCTGCAACAGGCATTCATCCAGTTTTCGATCGGAGATCAAGGTCACGATGGCCAACGGCTTTCCTGGAGGTCCCGATTTGGTTCTTGGAATGTATATTTTACACACCAAAATTTCAAAATACACTCAGAGGCCAAAAATACACCTCAGCCAAAAATACACCTTAGAGGCCAAAAATACACCTCACATGCTCATAATACACCTCACATGCCCATAATACATCCCAGTGGCCAAAAATACACGTGAGATGTATTTTGGTGGCTGCGTTGGCCATGCCCTATCCATCTCTACTTTTTTGGCTCTTGGTTTCAGAATTATGTTTCACATTGATTTAAAAAACCAAAAACGATTCAGAAAATGTATAGTATTCACAATGAAAGTCTGTACGCTTTTTTCTCTTCTTCACTTGGCCGGCCGCTGGCTGAGTCTTCGCCAGCGCAGAACACGCTTTAAAACGTAACGCCATGCCCAAGACGTCTTGACCTTCTTCGGGCGACACCCTAGAGCCAAACTTCGAAGGGACTTCATGTGGTCCTCATCCGTGAAGTTGGCCAACTGCAATGGATTTCCTCCCCACTGCTCAACCTCGTCGAGCAAATGCTCCATGTAGTGCATTTTGGGTCTGAGTTTGTACAGCATCTTTCCTGCTGCCAAAGCTTGAGCCGCCAAGCAGCCATAGGTTTGCAAGTGCAAACTGCCAAACCAAACTGAATGCACCTGTTCTTCTCGACTCAGACGAGGCCTCTTCCCTTTATACCATATGGACAGGCAGGCCGATAGAGTCCAGCACATAGTGGCGCGCAACTGTGCATGGTACACTGCATCACCGCTTGCATCTGCAGGAAGAAGTCTTTCCTTGAATCTGTATGTAAATTGGAAAGGAGAAACTCAGCTTACAGCCAAAATATGAACATAGGAAAATACAGCTATTCGTGTATAATTGGCGGCGCAAAAACCTTACATATTTTCCTTTTTCATCTAAAGTTCAATGTCGATGCACAGCTTGCACACGAACCCAAAGAACACCCGTGCCCGAGCAGCTTTGACCATGCTTTCCAAAGTTGGATAGGTCTTTGAACTGTAGTTCAACCTCTCCTCTGACAGCCTCAAGGCACCAAGGTCCATCTTGCGGTCCTTTGCCCACTGCTCAGCCATGAGGCCAGTGCGGACGAGGACGCTGGCAGTCGATGCTTGAGGCCCAAGGCCAACATAAGGGTGTAAATGTCCTGCTCAGAAACTTAAAACACGATTAATGGAAAATGGTTGGATTAGTGCTGAAGAACGGTTTTGAAATTCAATTCACAAACTTGTCAACGCGCGCTTCTTTTGGTCTTGTGACTCCTTCTTCCAGCACATCCACCAAGCAGCCGGCCACTATATCCCGTAGGAAGCCAAGGTGCACTATGCGCATACCTGAAGGAGAAGGTGCGCAACAAACTGCAAGCACACTCGCACGGAAACCACCAAGTGAGCAACACGTCTAGACAAAATTTACAAAGTTGCTGGCAAGAATGAAGTGACAATCCCACAGTTGTCGGTCACGGCTGAAACCCAACACTCTGCACCACGGGCTTCTGTTTGGCTCAGTCCGCGTGGAAATGGTCGTCCTCCAGAATGCGTCTCCAGAAAAGCTTGCATAGTTGAGGATCGGATTGGTCTTCGATGCCCAGCACCAGTCGCACACAAAGTTGCGCCGACACGTTCGATCACGTTCCTTGCTGACTGGCATAAATACCAAGGCTCAACAAATCTGCATTGATGTGACCCTCCTGCAAATGACACAGAAAAGTCTTGAGCAGGGGGACATGACAACCAAAAGTCTTGCAATACAAGTGACATGAACCAAGGCTCGTGGGCAAACACAGAGGCTTCCTGGTCGCCCTTCCAACCAGCTAAGCAAGCCCTCCAGCTCCCTGCAATTCGCTGCCCTGCTCGAATGAACTCAGGTGTATCGGGTTCAAACTTACGACCCACATGGTCGTGACTTGGGAAAAAGCCGCGTCTCAAAGCATCCATGTCCCAAGCCAGCACATCCAGGATAGCTCTTCGTGTTCTTGGCGCGATGGAAGTTGTAGCAAGGCCAACCACGCAGTTGCGGGAAACCCAAGGTCCCTCAGAACTTAAGGGCGTGCTCCAGGACCAAAAGGTGCCAGTGTCACCACGCCACCTTGGTACTGCATCCTCGTGGAACAGTAAGGGCAGCACAAACTCAAGGTCGCCCAGCCCTCCAGCAGCAAGCCACTGTATAAATGAAGGGTCTTCTGCCTTCCAATACTCCAGGACTGCTTGAGGCCGTAGATCGAAAAAGCATGGCCGGGCAACAGCTTCGCCTCTTTTCATCATGAGGGAAGCACGAAACAAACTTCTTCCAACTTCTCCACCAAGTCCAGCCCTTCTGGCACCAGCAACGGTATCTCCCTTTTGTAAGGTAGAAAAGGGAGCTTCATCCTGGCTGGGATGTAGACATGCTGTTTCAACCAAAAGCTTCATTGCAACAATGGTGTCAAAATGTTTGGCTGCAATCATTGACTGACAATTGAAA